ATTCATTTGAACAATTTGATATTGGGGTCTCATGTCTTGTACTTCAACTTTCTTTTCAACTGCATCTTTAGATCCTTCTTCTTGAGATCCTCGCAGTACCATGTCATTTGTCAGGATAATTGCACTCTCATCTTCCTCATGGTCGATAATAGTTGGTGAGGACAATTCTTCATAAACTGGAGAAATCAATTTGCTCATTTTAGATGCCCATTCACGCCTTCCTTCTTTTATCTCTTTACTCATCCTTTGTGTCTCCTGTTGAAATTGATATACCTCCTGTTGAATTTAATATGTGTTAGTAGCTATTAATTCAACTATTTCTTCAAGAGACATACCTGACATGGATAACGGTTCTTGAGACTCTAGCTGTTGAAAATCTATTGGCCTTTGTTGATAATTAAAATTGGAATCATCCCACCATCCTTGCTCATACCCGTTTGAATAAGGGTCATACCACGTTTGATATTGAGGTGAAAAATCTCCAAAAATATCGATTGGAACACTTAGACAATCTTGAAATGTATGGTATATGTCGATTGAATGATCTGAGGCAAAATAAGTTCCACAATTTGCAGCAGCCCATTGATCATTAGAAAAAACACAAGTCTCATAATCCCTTGTAGAAATAAAATTCAGTCTATTGCCAACATACGGAATGTTTGTAGTCATAAATATATATATATATATATATATATATATATATATATATATATAATAATAATAATAATAATAATAAGAGAAAAATAAAAAAAATGAAAACAAGATGAACTCAAAAAGAAACAAATTAATCAGGCACCAGTCCCCGGCAACGGCGCCAAAAATTGACAGGTGTCGAGCCTGTGTAACAATAATTACCTACTCAAGAAAATTACAAATTTTGTATATAGCGGTGAGTAGGGTCGAATTCACAAGGATTGGGAATAATTCGTTTCTTCTAGTGGGAGGAAAATAAAAATAAAAATAAAACAAACAAAATTCAAAACTAACTCACAAAGCACAATTTACTAAAAATAGCAATTAATAAAAGTTCTACCCAAAAGATCAACTTCTCAGGCACGGTTCAATTAAATGCTCATCGATGCAAAGATATTTCATCCATTTATCACTAGGTTGGTTATAATTATCAACAACCTCTGACAGCCAATTTTTCCTTATCTTTTCGACAGCCAAGGTACGACCGTTGACTGCTTCTCTAACCAGAAAACAACCCTAAATACGACCATAGGAATTTAATTATCCATTTGCATTAAAGCTAGAAAAATCCAACCCTAATCAATAAACACGCTAAGAGGATTTATTTAAATTAGATCCTGCGCTTCCCCAACATAAAGTCAATTATGGTGGTTGTCACTAATTATCAACTAAACGAACAATTACGGATTCAATTTAGTTAATGAGACAGTAGGCTATTAAATTAAATTAAATACCCGGCCGTTGATATTCAATTAATAAAATACCCACGAACAATTAATTCAGGAAACGCACGAATAGCAACAAATTGGAAAAAGTAATGAAAGTTTGATTAGATCTCACAGATGTTATGGATCGCGCCTTCGCGTTAACCTTTGGGTAGAGGAGAAACCTACCCGCTCCTCATCGTATCAATTTTGCGTGGGTTGGTTGATTTCATCCGCACAGTCATCAGCGAAATTGGAACGATGGAGTAATGACGAAAGAAAGAAAAGAAAACGTCTTCCTTGTCTCTGCGTTAATGTTCGTACTGAAGCCGAAGTACAACGCAAAAGCCAACGAAAATTGTACAGAGCCAAAGCCAAAGCAAAAGAGTCAAAAACGTGAAAGCCAAAAAGCAAGAGAAGAGTCTACAACGTCTGACGGCTAGGGAAAAAGAAAAATAAAGCTATCTCATTCCTAATACGTGAATCTGGCTTTCTTTTGCCTTTTGTAGCAGCCGCCAGCCAAAGCAATTAGGAGCAGGACTTGTCTGTGGGTTTTAATCCCACGCATCTGGTCTACGTGGTCCTGGGTCCTTAATTGGTTCTCCTGCTGTTACCAAGTTTGAGGGTCCGGCTTTTGGGTATCCTTCTAGAGTTTCTGGCGTGGGCACGCCATGAGATAGAGAGTCTTCTGAAAATTTACCTCGCGAGAGCACTTTTCACACCAACCACCTACACTTTACACAAATATCAAATATGAGCAAAATATCAATTCTTAGCACCATGAGATGCCAAAATTATGACAGAATAGTAGTGTAAAACGTGTTCAATAATTGCTTTATCAGCAACCATGAAGCAATGACATTATTATTGTTAATGCTTCTAGCAGTACTTCCTCGGCTTCCATGTTGGATTCAGGAAATTTTTGTCATATACAATTCGGATAAGGAGATTGTTTGGCAGAGCTTTGAGCATCCAACGAAAACTTTGTTACCTAGCCAGAAGTTGTCAAATGGTCAGGAGCTGTTTTCTAGTGCTTCTGAAACTGATGATTCTGTAGGAGCTCTGATCATCCTTACTTGATGCATTCAACTATATCGTTAATCTAACTGACGGAGGAATCCGCAGGATGGAAATATATATCCCCCAAAACTTGATGCGGATGGTATATTTAGACTCTGTTCGTACTCGTTAAAACTGGGCATAAGGTTTGTGTTAGGAAATTGGCTTAATTTTTTTTTAGGCAGGATTCTTGTTTTGTTTGGAAGTAACTAGTTTCCTAATTGGTTTTAGTTATTTGAAGTAGTAATCAAGAAATTTCCTATTTTGTTTAGGATTAAAAATTATTTTCTATTTTGTATAAGTTTAGGAATTAGAATTGTTTCCCATTGTTATTTGAATTTTGACCAAATAATATTCTTTATAAATAGGTAGGTTGACATACTATAAAGAGACACATAAGGGCACACAAGAGGCGACATGTAGTTTTATAAATGGGTGGTGAGAGAGGGTTCTTAGGAGATGAGAGATAGTATACAAGGGTTTAGGGGAAGGGAATGATCAAACAACGATTAACAAAAATTATCAAAACAAATGATGTGCTCTAATCTAAAATTAAAGTCTTAAAACCAAAGTTTAATAGGTGATAACTAAACACTAAATTTTTTTTATTAAGAAGAGACAAAATATAAAGCAGAAGATGAAAATTAGCTCATGGACCAAAATCATATAGTCATTAACTAAATTCACTAAATAAACATTAACCCAATAAAAGATAACTCAAGAATTTTAAGATACAGATTTTAGATTAAGAACAATTGACAAATTAATAATCATATAAAATAATCTAAATCACAATTTTAAAATAAGTATATGTGTCCAAATCATGAATGTTTATGAATCAAATTATAAAGGAATTGTAAAGGAAAAAAATTAGACTTGCCTTGAAAAAATGGAGTTTTGGGAAGAGTGGATATTTGAAATGAGTTGAACGAATGTGGGAAAAGATGGATGCTTGCTTGTTGGTTAGGTGTTGGCTTTTGACTAACATATCAAGTCGATCGCATATAAATATAATTCTAAATATGATTAAATTTCTTTTTTGTTTGTCAATTATTTGTTTCCTTACCTTAACTAATATAAGGACATACTAAATACATTAAAGTTATAATAATGAAATTTAGAGTATGTATGTTTGTATGTATGCATGCATGTATAAATGTATGTATGTATATGTATATGCGTGTGTGTGTGTCTATATACTAGAATGAGCTAAAACTTGTTGAGGGGACAAAATGATAGAGGTCAAATTTAAATATAATATACCATATAGGATTTTTGGAAAATTTTGCGGGTAGGGGGGCTGGCTGCCCCCTGCCTACCCTCCCGATGCCCATCATTGCAGCAAGGGATAGGGGAATTTGAATCCAAGATTTATGAATTTTTATCCAAAAATAATATTTAACTATATCTATTGTTTGTGGATCAAACATAAAGCATAAAAAGAGTTCGTTTAGTTGCATATATTAGGTTGAAAGGATGTTTCTATGCTGTCTATTATTTAGAGGGAAAAAAAAAAAACAATTCTCAGTTCTCTTCTTTCATCACTAATTAGATTAAGTGCAAATCGTTCTAGTTTATGAGCAAGCATGTACTGGACTCAAATGATATTAATATGTACAATTAATTCCATTGTAAGAGTTTTTCATTAATTGATAAGTTTTTTTTAAAAAAAAAAAAAATAGGTTAAAAGTTGGAAAACAGTTGTAAGATTTTGTGTTTGTTATTGGACGTCTTTTGCCTAATTAAACACTCACTCATTGGTCTCATAGTACATTCTTCCGAATTTTGCCGATAAGTATCTCTTTCTATATAAGTTGAATCACTAGGTTAATTATCCTGCCAAACAATATTATTATTATTATTTTCCAGAGGCTGCATGCACCAAATTAGTTGAGCAGTGAGGACCAAATTTGGGCTCCAATACCAATACATCTAATACCAATACAATTAATTGTCTAAGAACTGAAATTTTTACCTAATAACGAGTCTATGTAGTGTTAGTAATAAGAGTCTGCGAATGTTTATGACAATTATTCAAGTACAAAGTAGAAATATAGAAGTGCAACTTATAGGAGAATGTGTGTTGTTTATATATAGGATAACAAGAGATGTGTTAACTAAAGATAAAGAAATTTATGTCTCTCGTCTTTTTATTTCAAGTGTAAAGTAGAAATATAGAAGTATAGGAGAACGTGCATTCTAAAAGCACTCTATATATTGTGCCCTTTCGTTCTTGCAAATTTGCACCGGCAGTATCATCATGTAGCACTTTTATTTCTAATCTAATGTAGAAACTAGAATTATGTGGAACTTAAAAATGATGTAGGACTGGGAGGATCTGGAATATCAACAGTTCCTTCGGGCATCAGAAGAACTTTCTTCATGGATGGACGAAGTGCTGGTTCATCCTGGATGCACCAAAGAGCTATTTGCAACATTCTTTCCAGTTTTCTCGTGTCAACAACCTCCTGATCACCAACCAATTTATGCAGTTCTCCGGCTTTGAAACAGTGGTAAGCCCAATCTTCAAGAACAGCTTGATCCTCAGAAAAGCTCCGGTCTAGACTTTTTCAGCAGCATATGATCTCCAACAGCCCAATTCCACAGCTGTAAACGTCTGCTTTGACTGTCACAGGCATTTTCCTGCGCAACATAGCCTTTAGTTCCTCTAAAGTTTGTGTAAGTTCCGGTTTGATCATACGTTAATAGCTTTGCAAGCCCAAAATCGGAAATCTTGGCACATCTGTTTTCATCCATGAGTATATTCCGAGGTTTGATGTCACAATGGATGATTTTGTGTCCCACATTCTTCATGTAAGTAAAGAATACCTCTTGCAATGTCGCGGGCAATTTTAGTTCTTTCGTCGCAAATCGGATGGTTCTGTGGTTTGAGAAGGACATCTGCCAATGAACCATTGCTCATATACTCATAAACTAGAAGCCACACTTAGCTCCATCAAGGCAGTAGCTGAGTAGAAGGACGAGATTGCGGTGATGTGTTTTCCCAATCAACTTGATTTCATTCTGAAACTCCTTCTCCCTTTCTGCTAATACTTTCTCAAGTTTCTTCACAGCCCCAACCATCTCAGAATCTGGCAAAATCCCTTTGCACACAGCCCCAAATGCTCCTCTGCCCAACACTTCTCTGAATTCATTTGTTGCTTGCTCCAACTCAGCAAAAGTAAAGGCCCTTGGAGGCACATTCTCAAGAAATTCAACATTTCTAAATCGCAATATCTGCTTATAAGCGCATACCTGATTTCTACGAACATAAACTCCAGCAATTACAGATATCAGAACTCCTAGAACAGCAAGGGAAATCCGAATTACAGGGACATAGACACGAATTTCTTCCTTTCTGCATTTTAGAGGATTACTTGACCTTGCCAAGAGCAATATTCCAGTCAATTGCTCCTTAAGGTTCATAGCACATCAGCACTCCAGAATTTCTCAAGTCATGATGACTCATCCAAGAAGGTCCTTAAATTTGCAATTATAGAACCTTAAACTCTATTTTAAGATGATATTTGAGAAGCAACTTCATCAGATGACAAATCCAAAAAAAATTCCTTAAAAATTTCCAATTGCAGAACCTTAAACTCTGTTTTAAAAGTTCAAACGTATCACATAGTAGGCTTAGTTTGCAAATTCAGGAACAAACTTCAAGAATTTCTGTGCAACCCAAATATAGATCAATAACAGTAGTTAAACAAACAAAGTTCATAGCTTTCCTAACTTATGTCACAAATCCAAACAAAATAAAGAATAATACATAAAGAATCCAGAAAGCGGAGTAGAGCCTTCCAGATTCTGAGAAACAGAACTGCTCTTAAATTCTCAACTAGCTTTTCTGTTGAATTCCTTCACGTGTGCAAAGAGGGCAAACATTCTTCTTCATTAACCACCTTTTGATGCAGTCGGCATGGTACTCATGCCTGCATTCTAGAGTCCCAATTGTCTCCCCATTCTCGTACTCACACTGGCAAACTACGCAAATTTCAGGTTCTTGATCAGCAAGTGTTTGATAATTTCTGATTTTCAGATGCTCTGAGATGGTTGCTTCTGGCAAACCACTATTTTTACTAATCCTATCTTCTGGGACCAATTGTAGGAGGAACTCAACAATTGGGTCATCAGCAGGAATCAAAGTCCTGACGCTGGCAAGATTTCCATCGTCATTGACTAACTCCACATCCAATGCACGTACGGGAGTATCATCTTCTGATGCAAAGCTCGAGCTCTCCTCCGCATCCAAATCAAGTATGACAGTCTCATCTTCTGGTGCAAAGCTAAAACGGGAGAGGAGGTCCTGTCCCTGATCAGATTCTTGAAGATGGCTCCGGGGCCATTGGAGGTTCTGCTCTTGATTAAGATAGTAATTGTTATTCTGATCATAGTACATCGCTTCAGCAGGAGGATGACCGTAGTAATATTGCAGAGGGCTAGGAAGAAAAAAATCTCGAGAATAGTAACCTGGTTGAATGGATTGAGGATAAACTGGGAAGCCATAAGCTGACGGAACAGGGTAAAAAGGAGTCTGATCAGGAGGGGGGAAGAAAACATAGTGTCCGTCGTAAATTCCCATGTTTTCTTGAATCCTTGGCGGATAAGTTTGGTAGTGATGATAATGCTGATGAAGAGCAGGTGAATAGAACTGCTGTTGCTGCATTTTTCTCGGAGGGGGTTTTTCCAAGAATGATACTCCAGTATGAATCATGTGAAACTAACGTTATGAACTCTAATTCTTATATAGGAATTGCAGAATCCAGATCTGGTTAGGACATGGATTTGATTTGAATTTTAACGGAAAAGTCGAAATCAATTCGCTTAGGATCAGGAACACAGGTTTTGGAAACTTTCCTTTTTTTCTCATTGCCGTCAAAGAAGAAAGCGCGCTTATGAATGGTGCTCGCGGCCAACGCCTTTAACTCATCCAACAACACAATTTTAAGAAGGCCCATATCAGATTGGACCTCGGGCTGAGGTTATGCACTCAAACTCAAAATATTCCAAAGAAAAAGAAATATTTGGCAATTCTGCATATTTCGTTAAGTGAAATTGGCTCTTTCTCTTTCCTTAATTTTTTTTTCTTTTTCCCTCTTTTGTATCAATTAACCTGTTAGGTAGACCCTTTTATTAATTAAAGTTTATTGATATCCTATAATAAGGTTTGACTTGGGTCAATATGTTATTTTGACTATATTATGCTGATGAATGTTTCTTGCCCTTTTTTTCGTATAATTTCATTTTAGTTTGAGCAAAAGAATTACGGGTGCAAGAGAGTAGCTCGATGCTTAACTTGTGAAAATTTCGACTCAAGCTTGATGACTTGGCTCGATTTGATCTTGTTCGAGTAGTAAATTGAATCGAGTTTTAGCTTTAAAATGCTATGTTCGCATATCTAATCAACCCTAATCAAATATTATTTGTTATTCAATTTGAATTTTTATTTTCAGTATTATTTAATTTTCATTTGTTAGCTTTTATAGATTCGATTACATTCCTATGCAAAATTACGTGTAATATTATCGTAAGGATATATTACAATGTATTATATAGTGTCTTCAATACCAAATTGACAATTTCATATATGTCTAGATGATTTTTTCCAATTTCAGAATGTACGATTAAAAAAAAAAGACTTTAGGAGATTGACCCGGAGTTGTATCCATCGATGAAGGTGTAATTCCTAGTAATCCTCCCAGTAATCCTTCGAAGAACGATAAAAAGAAAGTTCATGTGGGTATCCTAGTCATTAATTGAGATTTCACCTGCTGTATTTGGACTCGTGATCTCTGTAGTTTTGGGGGTTTATGTTCACAAAATTCAGGAATGGGCCTATAAAGGATATTGCAAAATGGGAATGTCAAATTGTTGAGGATGCCTCCTAGGGCCTTCACCTTCACTGATCTAGAGCAAGCAACAAATGAATTCAGAGATGAGTTGGGCAGAGGAGCATTTGGTGCTGTATACAAAGGGATTTTGCCAAATTCGGAGAAGGTATTGGCTGTGAAGAAATCAGAGAAAGTATTAGCAGAAGGGGAAAAAAGAGTTTCAAAATGAGATCAGATAAATATTGAAGAACACACCACCGCAATCTCATCCAGTTGCTTGGCTACTGCCTTGATGGAACAAGGAGGCTTCTGGTATATAAACGTACGAGTAATGGATGTTGGCAGATGTTCTCTTCAAACCAGAAAATCAGGCTAGTTGGAACGAAAGAATCAAAATTGCTTGTGACATTGCAAGAGGAATTCTTTATATACATGAAGAGTTTGAGACACAAATCATCCACTGTGACATCAAACCTCAAAATGTACCCATAGATGACTGCAGGTGCGCGATGATATCTGACTTTGGATTGGAAAAGCCATTAGATCATGACCGAACATGAACTTATACAGGGGTAAGAGGAACAAGGGGTTCCGTTGCACCAGAATGGCATTGGCATTTGCCAGTGACAGTTAAAGCAGATGTTTATAGCTATGGAATAGTGCTGCTAGAGATCATATGCTGTCGGAAAAAAGCAGATTATAGACTGCCTGAGGATGAAGCAATTCTTGAAATGTCGGCTTACAATTGTTTCATGGATGGTAAACTGCGTAAATTGGTGGGAACGAGGAGGTTGTTGACATGACAAAACTAGAAAGAATGATCAAAATTGCTGTCTGGTGCATTCAGAATGAGCCAGCCCTTTGTCCATCCATGAAGAAAGTTCTTATCCTCGAAGGCACCCATGGACATTCCAAATCCTCCCTCTCCAGCTTCTTTTATCAGTGATGTATAATGCAGGAATTGTATTTCATGTTTTATCATCTGTTTCCTTCTTGTGTTGCATAATTAGTTAATTACCCTGTTCTGATGAGAATAAACTTCTGTTCTTGGCCTGCTATATTTATGTGTTGCTTTATCCTTGTGCATTGGCTATTGAGGATCAACATCTCCTAGCAAGTTGGTCCATAATTGCGTAGATCATTTCAATAGGAGTTCACCAATTTTTATCTTAGATGGTACTAACTTCTGGACAATCTTCCCACGAAATTGTTGCTTCGACAAGTGTCCCATAGGGCATTTTAATCTTAAGACAGTCAGCATACCAAAATAATTATAAATTTATGATATTACTGTGATCAGTACTTAGCATCAGAGAGAGGGACGAAATCCAAAGAATCATAGCAAAATTCATGCCTTCGATGATAATCATAATGAATTCTGGTACCAAATTTTCGGAGTTGAAAAATGAAATTATACCCTCTTAGTTCCATCTCATATTCAACGTCACGCCAAAACATGTAAATTCTAGTAATGAGCTGCAGTTCTAAACTAGATGACATAAATGTTACCCAACAAGATGACAAAAAAATCTGCAGAAGCTCCAAAATGAAGCCGTTTGGTATTGATCAAGGCAACACCAAGTGAAAGAGGGAGCTAATACATCAAGTGCTTCTCGCCAACACCAGGACACAGTTTCTTGTAGATGGAAATTACAGTCGGGATGACAGCTGCGAGTGCAAGAGAGAGATGTTCTGAACTGCTTGCCCTCACTGTAACCTGTCCACTCAGCTTATTATTTATTCCTGCACGCACAGCAACTTTTGAACCACGCCCGACAGAGAACTGAGCTAGACTGTTGAAACCTAGAGCCAAGTCCCCCCTCCATTTGATCACTGACATGCTGAATGTGGATTGCACCTGGCCAATAGGAAAATCCTGCTCCCTGCGCTGCAACTCAAAGTTGGCTCCATAAGCATTGTCCTGCTGAGCTCTAACAACCCCAGCGCTGCCTACCAAGGCATACTGCTTGCCCAAAGTAATCTGGTCTTCAATCTTGATCCCAGGGACCACGTTCTCCCCCAAGAACGTTATAGATACCCCACCAGCGGTCCTGTTCTTCTTCAAATTTTTGAATTTGGTTTCACCGCGGACAACATATGCAAGCTGCTTTCCAATACTTTGGATATCAAATCCTGCCATGCTTGACACATTCTCCCCATGCTTAGCAGCAATAGAGGAGTCCAAACTAATGCTGAAATCTTTCTTATCTTTTGTGACTTGAACAGTGACAGCTGCTGGAAAGCGATTCAGAATAGCCAAACTGTTTTCAACATTGACACCATCATACCCGCAATCATGGTCCCAGCTATGGGTATCCAGAACAGGCCTGGCTAGAAACTGTGAAGTTGGCTCTAAGAATCGGTATCTGTAGGCAGGATTATCACCATCGAAAGAAGGAGGCAGCACCATGTCAGGTAATGGAACTGCCACGGGAGCTGCGGCTGCTGAATCTGCATCTTCTTCTGTGAAACCATTGACAATCTCAGCATCCTTTCCCTTTGTTTTCATCTCTTTCATTCTCTTCAGTTCCTCTTTCCATTGTTTTTTCTGAAGGAGCTTCACCCGGTAGTCATACTCGTCAAAGTAGGCCTTCCTCTGCTCTTTGCTGAGCTTTGCAATTTGAGCTTTTCTAAGAGGCCTGAAAGGAGGAAGCTGGTCATACTCATCTTCATCATCATTGTCTATGTCTGACAAATCATCCAGGTCGATATCAGAATCACCAATCTCCCCACCCTGCTCAGTAGAAAGCTTTGGGTGTGCACGGGACTGCAACATTGAAGACAACATATATGGAAGAGGTGGTGAGCGAACCCGGAATCCAAAGAGCTTGCGGTGGTCAAATGGATCTTGAGGCTTCGAGAGGGAACCTGCTTCTGACAAAATCTTCATTGAATAGAATAACAACAACAACTGAGGTCTCCAAGTTTGGCCGTTAGGTAGCACTTTCTGGCCTTCCCTGTTCCTCCGACATGAAGGATGGTTTTCCACAAGTGAAACAGGATTCATAAGGCTTGGACTCATCATGCGGAGATCACCTACAGCTTGCCCAATAGAGTGCTGAACAACATGAGATCTTTGAGTAACAAAGGCCTCATAACTCATAGGGGAACCAGATGGTCCATCTGGAGGTGCAGACGCAGCATGCGTGAGGGTCACTATAGCACTTCGCCAGGTTGAGGATCCAAGAGAGCCAGATATGGTCCTCAGTAGTGGCAGATCATTGAGGTCTCTAGTTTGAGCGTCCAGCCTGTCCACATAAAGGACAATGTCTGGTGGATTTTTCTTGGTCAATTTCTTCACTGAGGACAAGATACTGCGGTTGAAAGACTGTTCCATCGCTGAGCATTTGAGGCCAGGTGTATCAAAAACCCGAAGCTTCACTCCATCCACAAATCCAGATATTTCTTTCACAGTAGTTGTGGCAGGCTGAAATGCGTCAATCTGAGCCTTCTCTTCCCCAAAAATTGAGTTTAGCGTAGCACTTTTTCCCACTCCAGATTTGCCAAGAACCAGTATGTTCAAGGAGAAGTCCAAATTATCTTTCTCCTCTGCTTCAAGCTGCAGCGCCATTGCTTTGGCAGCTTCAGTGCTAAACAGTTGACCAATTTGCCTTCCTGCAGCAAGAGTTAATCTGTAGATAACCTGTGCTGCTACTGATTCATCGGTTGAAAGACCTAGCCTGTGCAGAAGCCTCAAAAATTTCACTTGGATCTGCTGTAACCTCTCCAACTTCTTCTTCTCCTCATCGGTCAAGTTGCTCTCAGAATCTCCACTGTTTGAAAAAGTGGACGGAGTAAAGATGTTGGGGCGGTTTGGTCGGGGAGTAGGTCTCAAGGATCGCAATGAAGATCCCAGACCTGCAGGGCGCTCTACCGAAAACAGCCTAGATCCATCTTGAGAGGTTATTGTGATACTTCCCCCATCTGGGTCAGCACCAGTCGCAGCTTTCAAGAGGGCTGCTAAGGCAGCAGAATCAAATAATTCTTTGTTTTCTCCTTCTTCATCAGTGTCCACTTCATCATCAGAGTCTGTGACAATTTGGCCATCAACTCTCTGTGGCTGATCCAGAGAAGTATCAGCACCTGAAAATGAATTACCACCTGATCCCCGCTCCAACTCCTCAATGAACTGTTTAGCTGCTTCAGAGCTTCCAAATATCATACCATCATTATCCCCATCTGAAATTGAGCCTTCAAGGCCAGCTTCTTCCCCCATCTGAATCTTAGCTTCATCTTCTGCTTCTACTATTTCTGTAGCATCATGAATTGATTTTGGTTTATCATGCTCAGGCCAATGAGAAATGCCAGTCTCACTTTTTTCCAATCCATCATCCTGAATGCTGACGTATGTTCCTTCGTCAACAGATTTGCCAGCCTGAATTTGATCTCCACCTAGTAATTCCCCAGCATCACCACTGCTCGACACAGTGCCATTTTCTTTAGCTTCTGATACAGCCAATTGCTCCATTCCAGTCTCAGGAATCCCTTCAACATTCTTCTCTTCCATTGGTTGAGGACCATTTTTGACGGTGGAGGTATCAACCGCTGCACTATCTGACTTATCATGATTTGCAACTTCACAGGCATTGGTCACAAGTGACGCTTGTTCTGGTTCCTCTCTTTCACTGGCATTCACTAATAGTTCCAGTTGTTTTGATTCCTCCTTTTCACCGGCACTAGTTCCATTCCTTTCCCCAAAACTCTCTATCGTGCCCCCTTGACTATCACCACCACTCCCATCCAAATTCAAGACCGAATCCCCAGCAAAGACAGGAGGAGCTTCAGGCTTCCCCTCCAAGCCCTCGACAACACTTTCATCCAAATTATCAGAAAGACTATCCCCTACACCAACAGCTTGAGATTCTTTCACCGGCTCGCCCTCACCTCCTTCAACATCCTTCCCATCCTCTAATTCCCCAACTTTATCAACATTTTCGACATTATCACCAACTAAAACCTCAGAAGCAGCCCTATTATCATCGATTGGGACAGATACATCCGACGAAGCCGCAAAAGGGCCGTCAGAATTCTCCCCCGCAAGGCCGTCGGATTTTTCTTTTTCATCAGGGCCGGCCACAAATGGCTTCTCCGAAGCCATATCAAAATCCTCCTCACCACTCACAAACCCCTCATCATCAGAAGCACTACTAAAATTAACTTTACCATTGCTACCACTACCATGAATATCAGTATTCAAATTACTACCAACCTTAGGAGCAGTATCAATATCAATTTCAAAACCAGTATTATTATTAGGAGAAGAACCTGAGACCGGAGAAGACGCAGCAGCCACTTCCTTCGAGTCCATTGGAGCTTGAGAGCCTCCCTTTGCTTGTGCAACTAATATATTGAAGGGTGACAAACTTTGCCCACCTTTCGATGGTGGGTTCTTGCGGGTTTCGAGTTTGGGACGTTTCTTGATAAGGGTTTCGAGGAATGAAAGGAAGAAGAAAACAGGAGACGTGAAGAAGATAAGGAGACGAAGGATAAGGTTGCTGGGAGGGCTGAGGAGAGGAGAAGGGGTTAAGAAGAAGAGAATTTGGGGTTTTCAGTTTTGAGGATTTTTGGTGCCCAATTTTTTGGCGTTTTGAGGAAATTCGGAAACGCTTACTTGTGGGACTTTTGTTCCTATTGATGCTGATTTATTTTTACTCGGAGTTACTGTCAATTGGGTTAATCACGATTTGCCCCTTGCAAGTTTTGGGGAGTCACATTTTAGTGCTTTAAATCTCTCACTTTGGATATAAATATATATATATATATATATATATATGAGTACATCTTATAAACACTGATAGTGTATACACTATCATCATTGGATTTATGACATGTGTGTAAAAATTAAATTTTAAATTCAAATTTTGCATAATTATCATTTATCCAATGTTGACAGTATAAGATATATATATATATATATGTATACACTTTACCCAGGGATTTTTAAACCTTTCGAAAACGTGAATGATACATTTGAATACTTAATAGTTCAATTATTCTTATGGCAAAGTGTGAATTTCTATGAAATTCAGAGGAGCTAAGTGTATATTTTTGAGATTTATAGTAGTGTAGTGCTATTATATATATTGAGAATAAAGGGTTTAGTAATATAAATACCCAACATTTAATTTCTTTTTGTAGATTTGCAGTTCAATTTAGGTTTATGTAGGTGATTATATAATGGTTAAAAACCAACCATGCTTTATTTTAAACATTTTTTTTGACAAATATCTCATTTTATTTCTTGAAAATAAATTTATATAGTTTCAGAATAAATCAAGTGTTATTTCTTGAAAATGCTCTAGATGTTATTTTAATAATCTATGCTTTTGAGAAGGACCTAGCGACTTGTATTGGTAAATTTTTTTTTTTTTTTCACAATTAGCCTATATTCAAAGATTGGAGGAAGATTAGTGACATGAATACCAACATATAATTTCCTTTGTGCTTAATAACTTGCATTTCAAGTTAAGAATATGTAGCTGGTTATATCATGTTTAAAACCAAATATTCTTTGTTTCAAACTATATTTGACAAATTCCTCATGTAATTCTTGCAAAAAAATTTCATATAGTTTCACAAGAAATTCAAAATTCTCTAATGTTGTTTTTATATTGTCTGTTTTCGAGACGGAGCAAGCAACTTATAATGCTAATTATTTTAACAATGCATTTATTTATTTTTTGGATTAAGTTAACTATTTTTTAAACATTTGACCAGTCTTTATAGGGGTCAAAATATAAATTTTGGATAGTAAAGTATGATCACTCCTAAAGTTTAAGGGATAAACTGTGATTATCATCACTTGTCACTTTTGCAATTTTACGGTATAAGTAAGATGGAAAAATGAACCATATACATTTTTCAATCTACAATCTAGTAATTGAAACTCCACTTATTGTTGTGGGTTATGATTTGGCCATCAAAACAAAAATTTAAATGTAGTGTTTCAATATTTACGGGAGTGTTTGGATATCAAAATTATTTCAAATAATATTGAGTTTGCATCACAAACACATTTCCCAACCTATTTTTTTATATTCCCAATCACCTTTTTATCTCACATACATCATATCTGAAAAAGTGCTACAATAATTATTTCAAATAATATTTCAAATAATACACTATCCAAACTACTCGTAACAACATTATGAACAGTGCTGGACACCTATTAAACAACCATGTAGATGACCAAAAAAATCAACAATAACAACCGGTGTTGCAATTAAAAATTCTCTGCATGTGAAACTCGCTGGCTGTCTTTTCCATACTACTTTGTACCTACATATATGTTATTAGGATTTTGGGGCTTTACAATTTATGTTTCGTACAATTTCACAAAAGTTGACCTCTGGTATAAATTAATAAGATTTTCGTATAAGTCAGGTCTAGTTTGATGTAAATAAGGTGCAGTTCAGTGTATGTTGATTTCTTATCATTTGGTGTAAATCAAGTATTGTTCGATAAAGTTAATTATTATCATTTAGTGTAAATTAAGAAGAATAATTTGGTGTAAGTTGAAAATAAATTATTAATTTACGCCAACTTATATGAAATGGAAACTTGTGAGCCCCATTTTCACGTTAGTAGATGTTTTTTTTTTTTTTCCAAACTTTTGAAATTAGTTAGTTAAACCTAATCCCAAATTTAATCCCAAAAACCGGCAACTCTTGAGGCAAACTTGAGAACTTAACTACCCAACCCCCAACCCCAGAGAAATGATGTGGGACTATGGGAAAGTCGTTAGTAGATGTTTCCTACAATTTTTTTTTTTTTTTACTATACCCCACTAATACTAGTGCATTAGGTGTCATAATGGGAAATGGGAGCTCTATTTAGTTATATAAACTAATAAAATTTCGGTGTTAAATGATACAATTTTAATATAAACATGAATTATATAACTAAATTTGTGTGGAACTCACAATTGTGCCAACAGTTATTAGCTTACACTGAAATTATGCCAATTTATACAATTGGACGGAATTGGATAGAACTTCAACCGGAGAGACCAAGATCCCTCATAATTCATAATGCTCGTTTTCCTACTTGGACGAACCTTGTTCGGCTCATAAATTCAAATCATAAACTAGAATGCGTATATAATTTGCTCGGGATGAAATTCAAAGTTCATTTATCTAATCAAAGTGGACCATTCTCCTAATCATTTCACCGGCATTTGAACTATAATATAGCAAGTCCTTCAATGTCAATTGGCAAATAAATCTTAGCATTTGACCTATTATCAACTGAAATCCTGTAAAATTGACCAAATTGTTTTACTCAAGAGATTAGGAGTGTTTTCTGATCTCGTTTCTCAATGAAATAAATACTTAAACCCTAAAGGCAGTTTTTAAAGTAAACAAATTAATAAATTTTGCTAATTCGGAATAGCAGCAGTCCTAAACTTTATAGAAAGGAAAAAGGCTAACCTAAAAAAAAAAAAAAAGCCCTCCGAGGCTTGGTCTGGCGGTTAAGATTGCTGAAAATGGAGCCTTAAATCCCTAGTTCGAACCTTGCTACCAGCAAATTATGGAGGGTGGGGAATAGTCTGCGAGGTCCACTCAACAAGGAAACAATATCACTAAACAACGCGATAATATATTGAAAAATATTTTTATGACAAATTAGAGACAACAGACTTAATCGATAGATAGTGGAACGAGAAAAAAAAAAAGAGAATAAAGAATGATACCTTCATCTCATTATCAACATAAATCAAGTAGATTTTACGATGTCTTTTGAGTATCATACTCGTGAGTCGTAATCAATTCTTTTTGGGTATCATACTCATGAGTCGTAACCGTGTAATTTATCTTTTTTTCAAAAGGTAAACATCAAAGGGTATTCTGGCTTCATTGGTGTTGTCGACATTACTGAAAATGCATTTTGTTCGTTTCTTAGGGGCTGAGAGTTTGAGATTGGGTTTCCAAATGCCCATTTGTTTTTTAGTTTGAGGTGTCCAATGTTATTCTATCAACTGCCAAAACCCAAAAATTAAAAATACGTGTATTTACTGGTTCCCTCTCATTTCTCATCTCTAACGGATGGCCAATCTTTTATCCTCCTAGGATTATCTTCAACCCATAATTATAAAACTCATATGTTGTAGTGTTGGGAAAGGTCCATGGTTCGAACTCCATTAAAGGCAATAAAATTTTTCCACAAAATCGGGTTTAAGGACAAAACCGGCCAGATTTTCGAGTTAATCCGGTCAGACAGTCGGATCGTTGACTAGTCAACGATCCCCTTGCTCAAGCAATTTGATTTGAAACCCGGCCCGATCCAATGATCGGATCACTGGTTTGACCGATTTGATCGTTGGGCTGGGCGGGGTTTAATAACTGTGCTTCAACCTTCAACACTACATAAAACCAGGAAAAAAATTATTTCAGTCGAACATAAGAAAGAAATCCTTGATATTTGTTTGCCTACTTTCTGTTTCCGCTTAACCAAACGGGGCCGATTGCTTGAGTGCTGTTTGCTTAGGAGTCTTACAAGCTGGTCAAAGAATAATAAGAGTTTTCTTGCTTAAGAAAAAAGAGAAAGCAAAAACTCTTTGAGTAAAAGATAAAGAATAAAGAGACAAAAAAAAATTCAAGTAGCTTTAAGATTTAAGGAATAGAA